TAAATAAATAAAATCTTAAAAAAAAAAAAAGAAAAGGCAAAACCCTATTTAAAAATAATAATAATAATAATAATAATGAAGTACAGTGAGAATCTGGAGAAAGAAGTGCCTAACCCTGAGTGAAGCAATCAGGGAAGGCTTCCCCGGGGGTGTTTGAACTGGATCTTGAATAAGAGCTTTTCAGAAGAGGGTCAGAGCTCGCCCATACAGACGGCACCCCGAAATGCTCAGCGCTCTGGTGGGCAAGGCGACGGTGACCTGCGGCTTGAACAAAGAAGTGAGAAGGCGAGCGGAGGAACCCGGCTACACACATCCAGTCAGCTGAGAGCAAAGGAAGGAGGGCCATGAGGAAAAAAGGGTGGCGGCTCTCCTCAGTGCTGGTTTTCCCAAGAGCCCCAGCTCTGCAATGAGTGGAACAGATAGTGTGTGAAAAGGTGTCGCTGCTTTGGGAGAGAAGGGAGCATAAGGTATTTCTCATGGGTGCTTGTCTGACTCACTGAGACATTTTAGCTCACGAGGCCATGCCTCCTGGTTCCTTCCTTCGGGTCACATGAAAATGAGCAGCGGGTGGGTCATCGGGAGAGGGCTCTCCAAGGGGAGAAAAGCTCCCCGGCCGGAGGCCTGTGGGCAGCGGCGTGGGGCGCACACGCCCTCACACGCTCGCCCGCCCGGCGGACCTCCGCATACATCCAGAGCCTGCCTGGCCTCTTGGGGAGGCCGGGGCCCTCCGGCTGGCCTTGCGGGAAGGCCCGCCGCGCCGCGGGGGCACGGGCCTGCTCTGAAGACGGAGCCCTTCTCCAGCCCCTTCCTCTCCCATCCTGAGCCCTGCCCCCGGATGCAGGTAAGCCGAGAGGAAAGGCCCAGGGAGCGGAGGGCCAGGGAACAGCAGGGCCTACCCGCTGAGAGCGCCCACGTCCGACTGCATTGGGCCCTGGCTCTGTCTCTGAGCCGTTGTGCGGCTTCAGGCCGTCCCTGGACCTTCGCTTCGCCTCCGTCTGTCGCCTGCGGGCTTCTACCGGGGCTTAGAATACATTCCCTGCCCTGCTGTGCCTTGTTGTCAGTGACGCTTGAGCTTGGTCAGCACGTCTTCTGCGGGACGAGATCAGGGGATCCTCGGTGCGCTTCTGTGACACCTTCCGTGGGACACCGCGGCTCAGCACTTGCTTAGAGCCTTGTCGCTGGCCCCATGAGGCTTTCAGCTCCTCAAGAAAAGACACGGTCTCTGAGTCACTGATGCTATCTCCAGCTTCTGGCATTGGGACCGGCAGAAAGCAGACACACTTAATTGGTACTGACTGAGGAAGGGATGAAAGAAAAGGCTGTCCAGGCGCCGGGGGAGGTAGAGAGACACACAAAGAATTTGCCGTCTCTTCCTCCACGTGACTCAGCTGGTCACTCCTGTTGTTGCCTAGACATCTGGCGGAGGACTTGGGCACCCAGCCAGGATCTCAGGTTAGAACAGGGCCTCCCCTAAAGCCCGGTTTTAAAGTTTTACCTTATGATCCTGCTTATCTCTTCAGAGATCAAATTAGCCGACCTCTTGGCTAATCTCCGGGCTCACATTTGTGGAAGCGTTTCTCAGAATGTTGTGATTTCTTGCGGAACAAAGTCAGGGAGAGGAAGTGAAATGCAGACCGGTTTGAATCAGTGGGAGCAGCAGCGCCAAGTGCTTTTAGCAGGAGATTAGCGGACAGCCCGGATTCTCTGAGTTCCACTCATCCCGAAGGCCATGCTCAACTTCTTTTTTTTTTTTTTTTAAATATATTTTATTTATTTGACAGAGAGAGAGAGCACACAAGCAGGGGGAGCAGCAGAGGGAGAAGCAGGC